TAGACTTGCAGATGGTTAACAGTAAGAGCACAAAAACAAGGGTCAAAACATAACCACAGGTCACATCTTTCTAGCCAAATGTTCACCAGTCAACTCTTCTATACACATATTCCTACAAAGTTTCTGAGGAGAAAAATGCTTATTGTTTAGAGCTGTGGCGTTTTTAAGTGCTTCTGTTCATATGATACATGCTATAAATTCTGAGATCTTTTTTTGCCCAGACATTCAGGCTGTACTACACTGAGAGTTGTATTTCCAGGAACAGAAGTACAACCCCCAGTGTGGACCTGGTTATTATGATTTTCCTAGGGATCATGCTGTTTGCAAATATCAGAAAAGTGCCTTATAAGTAGAGACACCTCCATATAGTCCCCTATATGGGAAAACCGACACTTTGTGCAGGTCTGAACTCATCCAAGGGCAAACTGTTATGCTAACACCTAGACAAAGCAGAGGGCTGTTTCTATCTATCCCATCTCCTTCAGGGAATGGGCTTTTGTCTCTTGATCCCTGGCCAATTCCCACATCAGGCCTTCTCTATGAGGAGCTTTAGAGTCTCTTTAAATGGATCTGTGGCTCACATTTCTGTGCTCTCTGTAAAGGAGTGGTTGCTGTTGTCTGTAGGGTTTGTGAGGCAGAAGAACCCATGCCCAGTCTGCCTAACATGATTTCCTTGCTTCCCTACTCCTTCTAATGTCTGTGTTTTATAATTAGCTCAGGTAATCCATGGTGATTCTGAAACCAACAAAGTAAACAGTCTCCAGTACTGATGTACTCTGTGGCTCTCACAGTGTTTTGACTGTGACATGTTTGATGCGGGAACAATTTGTACAAAACCTGCCTCAGAGAGATCTCACCTGATTATTAGATAGTTCCAGTGCACAACTGTGCAACCAAGAGCAGCACTTCTGGCACTAATAATATCTTTTATCATTTCTGCTTTTCAAAAAGTAAAACATGAACTGTCACTCTGAGTAAGCTGTGTTTTCTAAATTATGTCTTATCTTTTGTCCCTGTTAATTCATACGCTGTTTTCTTAGATTTTAGCTTCATTGAGCTTTCACTCTGCCTGGGTGTATCAGAGGTGGAAGGAGAAAATGTGTTCTGTCAGTATTGCTCAGGTGCTGCACATGAGAACAGTAAGCTTCAGCATGCTACAGATGACTCTGTAACAGAAGAAATAAATTTACTCACAAATAATTTGCAGTTAAACTGTGAATAGGTGGTCCCCAGTAACACGACCAGAGACAGTGGGCACAGGCTGAACACAGGAGATTCCTCCAAACATCAGAAAAATCTTTTTTTTTTACTGTGAGGGTGACCAGGTGCCTGCACAGGTCACCCAGGGAGGCTGTGATTCTCCATCCCTGTAGATACTCTAAAGCCATCTGTATGTCCTGGACAACTGGCTCCAGTTTAAACAGGGAAGTTGGACCAGATGACCACCACAGGCCCTTCCAACCTTGAACATTCTGTAGGCCATGATTTAGTTTAGGTGAAGTTACCCAATCCAGTACTGACAGCAAACAGCTGGTCTTTAGCAACTGTTCAGAAAAAGACTAATGCTCAGGCCCCCTACATCTTTCTTTCATATTCACTAACCAGTAAGAAATATATTTGCTACTCACCAGTTCCCCCTTATAGGAATTGTTATGTGAAACATGCAGTGGGAAAGCATATTTTGCATGTCCAGTACTGTTACACATATGTAAAATACGGTTACTGAGTATATTCAGAAATCTATCTAAGACTAAAAGACTCTTTGATAGTATTGAACCAAGTTTGCTATTTTATTGCACATTGTTCTGCACTACAACTGTAATTGGAAGAGCAGGATAGCTTTACCCTGTCATAGTGCAACAGATTTCCTTCTCCTTTTGCTTTTTTTGACCAAGATGAATCAATTTAGTGCTGGAGGGAACTGGACACTTTCTGTTTTGTATATCAACAAAGCTCTCATTATGATGGCAAATCCAAAACTTACATCCCATCCCAATTTTAGAACAAGAGGAAGATTTTGTGGCAAATCCAAGAGCATTCCTGAAGTATTACACATCTTTCCTCTCAGTACTGCTAGAATTTGTCACTAACTCCATCCATCTCCTGTCTACTGGATGATGAGTAAATCCATCAACTGCATACTGCTAAAATTCCTCCAGTCATCTAGTTAGAGGTGAAATATCACAACACACGCTCAGTGCTTTCTGAAATTTTAATCTACTTAACCCAATTACATAGTAAGAGATAATGCTGTATGTTCAACTGCTGAGTCTGCAGTGGCAGAATGCAGCAAGAGGCAAATCAAAAAGCAGCAATTTTTGTCTCCTCTAAGTAGGAGAATTGTGCTCCAGATGCGCAATGGATTTGATCAGCTGTCACGTCCTTAACTAGGGGGGACAATGCTGGAGTTTCCTTCCTCAGTCTTCCTTTCTCTGGTGGGGGCTCCGACTATCTTTCATTCCTTTTGTTATCTTCTAATTTTCACTATACAGGGAATATTCAATCTGTGTTGGCTGCATGTCCTTTGTCCTCTTTTGTCTTCTTTTCTCAAAATTGCCTTGCAGTAATCAGAAATTTTGTAAGCTGTGTTTATGCTCTTGTGGTGTCACCTTGTGCTCGTGATCAACCTCTGCTTGTGTTCTCCATGGACCATACACAATTGAGAGGTTTATTGAGGTTTATTGAACTGAGAGGTTTATTGAAGCTGATTCTCAGAAAACACTCCATTTTCAGGCTGGATCCCAAGATTATGTTACCATATGAAACAACTCTTTCTTCAATAGTTCCAAAAATGTTTTGCTGTTGATTTTCCTATGAGGTGTAATTGTAGCTCAATAAATTTTTTATTTTTCACCCCAAAACCAGAGCAAAATCTATTCACAATGAAACCAGATGAAAAAGAGAAGTAAGTTGGAATGGGGAAAGATACAATCATGTTATCCTTTGGTTTGACATTAGAGATTAATTTTTATAGTTCTCTTTATGAAAAAATAAAATAACCATACCTGACTAGGCTGCATGGATGCCTCTGTTTTCCCCAATTGTGTCAAACTCTTGACAGATTCATCCATATTGGCTGAAGGTTTGAAAGGTTGATAGTCGCTACAGATTTTTAGAAATAAGCAATGAAAGAAAAAATGAAATCCTGTAAAAGGTTCACTTCTTAGAAACATCAGGAAATCCTCACAGCAATCAATGAAATTACAGGAAATAAAAAAAAAATTGGATCTGCTGCCAAAATTTACTGATTTTTATCTTTAAAAAAGTGGTGGAGCCTTTTCTCTTCATCTATCCCAAGGTTAGCAAAAATTCATATTTCTGAAACAAAAGGAAGTAGTCTTGAAAGGAATAAAAACATAAATTGCCCATCTGATTGCTAAAAATTACTTTATCTGTTGCCTGTTTTCCCATTTGGGCTGCACTGTTTCATGAAATGGCACCAACTTTTAGGACTCCCAGGCCTCTCCCTGGGTTGCAAGGTTGTCTCTGTTCCATGGGGATTTCTCTGGGGCTGCCAGGGGGGACCCCTTCTCTGAGCCTGCAGCTCCTCCTGCCCTTCTCCTCCTCCAGCTCACCTTGGGGTCCCTCCTCAGCTCCTCCTCCTGTACTGCTGTCACCTTTGGCCCTTGCTGGAACCTGTTTGCCCCCAGTATCCTGCAGCCCCACTCCCACCCCTGGGACAGGGACACCCTGTGCAATCTCAAATACAGAACCTTGATGTGCAGAAAAGGATCCATGCTCATCCTATTGGCATTTTTACTGCTCAGTGAGATCAAGAGATAAAATTTAATATGTCTTTTCCATAGTTAGCTGGCAAGGTTAGGCATTTCTAGTGAATTGGGACATATTGCAAAAGCAGTTGATGTTTTTATACTCCATTAACCAGAGCAGAGCTGATTAAATATATTCCAGAGCTCAGAAGTTTGCATCATTGAAGAATTTATTCTGGAGTTAGAAAAATTGAGTCAGTGCAAAAGAAAAATCCAAGATGATATGATGGTCCATCAGGTGATGCCCAAATTCAACTTTGGTTTATGTCTTTGAGAGATATAAATTTTCTTTTCAGCTTTTAGTATATCCAGTATTAGTATGAAACTTCATTTTTTACTCTATATCCATTTCAAATTGCAACCGAAGAAAATGCATCGGTTCAAGCCATCAGCCTAAGTTGATGAATATTTTCTGCTTCTCTTCAGTGCACTTTAAGATAGACTATTTATCTTTACCTTACATTAAACATCTGTGAAGAACTATAAAACACTTTAGAGTGGCTAAAAATTCCCAGAATTCAATAGGAATATTTTCATTCAAACTGCTGAGGTTTTTGCATGATGTTTTTCACAATTAGGGACGCAGCACTTTCAAAGGCTGTGTTATCAAAGTGATTATGTGCTGAGGATACTGTGGGCACTATCTGAACTTAAACAGTGGTTCAGTTATGACTGCAACTTACTAATCTTCTGTCTTAAGGATGAAAACAAGTTTTAACCAGAAAATATTTGATTCTTCATAACTTTTCTTGCTCTTGACTAAAAGCAAAAGCTGATTTGAATCTGAAGCATTTTCTCTTCCAAATGAAGTCTTCCATTATAAACAATTACAAACGCATAAGGAAGGTGATGTAGGTTACTCAACTTATTTTTTTTCTTGAAGTTTCTCTTTATTCTCTCCCAAAACCTTCAAGGAGTGGGATTGTTAGGAAAGCTCCAGAATCCAGGAGCTGTGCATTATGCTGGATATTCAGTGATTACAGCAATATCTCTCACTTCAACCATAACCTTTTGTTCTCCTGTTGTCTGTCATGAAAATGAAAACACTGAAGAAGTACACAGAGATTTTTCCTATCCTCAGTTTAATGAGAAAAATCATAACTCTTGTTACAAGTGCTTTCTTCCTTCCTTCCTTCCTTCCTTTTCTCTTTTTCTACAGTAATGTGTCATCTCTCAACCCAGACAGTAAATTGTTTGAAGAAATTACAATCTGTGATATAAGGCCCCTATTCTACTTTCAGAGTTACTAAGTAAACAATCTAGAAAGAAGAATTTATATAGCAATATAATAATGGAAAATGCAGCAGAAAACACCAGCATAAAAAAGTTATTGATAGAAAAGGTAATGATATTGCCAACTTCAGCTCTATCTTATTTTATCTACACATAGGGTAATGAATTCAACACAAGCATTCACACTACTTTAGAGGGAATATTTCAGAATGTTTCAAATTAAGGGAGGAACATCTTCATTATTTTCAAAATCAACACAGCTCTTCTTAACCTCAGTAACCTTCTGTGGTTGGAGCTTTATAGGTCCCTGTCCAGTTCGTTCCTTTTCTTGGATTATCTTTGTCACATCAGGGAATGAATATTTACTAAGATCCACTTCCAACTTCTCAACTTGTCCACTCCTGAGACAAGAGGGAAATAAATGGAAAAAACATAATTTCAGTGTCAAATATAACAGGACTCTGAATTTATTAATGTGATTCTATGGTTCTATTTTGGGTGCCTGCCTGTAAACACATGGTATGAAGGTTGTTACTGAGTCCAATTAAACCAGGGTTAAGAGTTCTTGTAACTTGAGAATTGATTGCTAAATAAAAACCCTAAGTGTAAACACATGAAAGTAATACAAAATCTCTAAGATTTCTTACAAAAGAATCCTTAATCTTCAACTTCAAAAGTTAATTTTAGATAGCTGTAATTCCCTTTATATCAGAACATGGTGACTGCTGGTGTCACAGGACAAATGGTTGGCTTTTAATGAAAGGTTTTTTTTTTTTTTCTTCTCTTCCTTTTTACACAGTTCCTTCCCACTGATTGTCTATTAATTTCTAGGTGACAGGTCCATCTTTGGAAAACATAAATACTTGCATTTATAGAGAAAATACAAGTGTAGGAACTTGTCTGCCTTGATCAGCTAATTTTTGTATTTTGTCAACATGAACCCTCATCATGTTTTTATTATGAAAAAAATTAAATTAAATTAAAAGTCAGAGTTTTAACACAATTTTCATATTCTATTGCTATTAAGGATACTCTTTCAGGTGACACTCAGAAATGTGTACTGGCCACTCATTAAGGCAACCTATTCACATCACATGATGATCAAAGCTATGAAAAATACTGTCTGTCTTGCAGCATTTAATCTCATTGTTTATTTCTAAGAGAGGAGCTCAGTGATTAAACTGAAAAAATCTAACCTGCTTTCATGCAATTTGTAACTGTTTACATGGAAAAATGGCAAAATGGAAATTTAATTGTACCATTATGTTTAATTTCTTCAAATTACAACATGATTTGTACATCTTCATGCTCTTCATTTTATACTGAGTCACAGTTCCCAGCTCAGCATTAGAAAAGACAATGCCTCACCCTTCAGAGATGTGAGAAAACTGTTTACCCAGGAGATCAGAAAGGCTCCTTAGAAATGGAACAAACAAGGGGGAGGCAGAATTCTGTCTCCGTGACAGAATGCATTTTATGGATGACACCACAGAAAATAAAAATTTGAATATAAAGTACAGTAAAAGATTTTAAACTGAAAATACACCATCTTTAGTTGTTAAAACAGGGAGGGTTTAGCAGGGCAGTTTCCAGATTCTGCCAATGCTTCTCCATCAAGGCTCTGGGAGATATGAGCAGGCATCCCAGCTCTCGCTGAGTGCAGGAAGGGCTCCTCCAGGAGCTCCAGAAGAGGCAATCACCAGCCTAACCACCTCTTTCAGCTCTATGCTACTAGATTTTTCTTGTACCAAAAGAATAATTTGATAATTTTTTTTCTGAGCAGAAAACAGCCAGAGAAGCTAGCTGCTTTAATAACCTGCATAAATCTTTTCCAAATAGTGGCATAAGCAAAAATTACTCAGAGTAGAATTTTATGGGTAATGAAAACAAATACAAGAAAATTCTTATATCTTTACTCTGAACATTCTTCAATTTATAATGCTAGATTTTTTTCTGATATTGCACTATACTATTTAATGAAACAAAAAAGAGTTCATTTGTAGCAACACTCGAAAAAGTGTTCATCCCCCAAAAGTAAAGGGCATTTTTTTTCCCCCTGTAATTTATGAAATGTGCTGTGACCTGGAATCACTTTATCAGTAGCTGTTGGTGAGATCACAAAGAGAGCGGACCCTTAAACTACTCATTTACCACTAAGCTGAGGCACCTCAGAAAAAGCTAAAAAATCATAAACATGAGAATAAATTAGGCTCAGCTCATGCCTCCATCACATGCTAGAAAAGAATTTCCTTAATTTGAAATATTTAAATTAGCAGTGGTATCTCACTCTTGTTCAACAGCTCTAAAATTGTACAAATTGTCAGTCATGAAAACACAATAATGGACTTTGAATATCTTATTGCTTAATAGCAGAATAAACTTCAGCATTCCAGAAATAAATTAACAGTGAGTGTCATAAGTAACAATCCACATCAGCACGCTATGACAAGATTATTGCATCATCTGAAAATTGCAACAGTACATGTAATCTCAAAGTATGTTAGCAACAGGCAACAGGTAAGTCTGAGAATCAAACACAGTGAATTTTTCCAGAAAGGAAGTGGTTTTTCATGTACTTGCATGAACATGATCAAACATTCTACACTTGTTTAGTAAAGCTCCACAATGCTATCCCAGCTACTACAATACAACATTTGGCTGACAGCAAAACTCTGCTAGGCTGAAATCAGTGCAGCTACAACACAGATCTACTCCTCACGTCATGCAATCTATGCAAAAGAGGCTGGATATTGTTGAGGTCAAGGTCATTTTATGAAGAAAGAACAAGGGTTTTTCCACATAATTAACAGACTAAAAATCATCTTGTTGCTGAAGCTCTTCCATGAGCAATGGTAAAACAGCTGTTATGGAAACAAAAATATTTCTTGAAGCTAGAGAACATACCTGAAAACCTCAGTGTTTGCAAACTATTTCAAGTTCAGGTCTAAAAACAGATGAAGTTCACAGTTTTTATGGCACTGCTACCTGCTGGTGAGTGTTCTCAACCTAAAAATTATGTTCAAACACTAGAGCACCACACAAAAACAAATTAAACCCTTTATTTCCTCCTGACATTTTCTTCCCTTTGGAAGGCTATTTCTACCTCCACACAGTTTTATTAGGCTTTTAAAGAATAAAATTAGAAGACTCCACAAAAAAGAAAGTTTTGCACATCTATAGCAGCCTGCTGAACAATCTGGTGTGTGACATACGGCATATCTGATAATTTGCTATGTCTTGATAATTTACACTTTTATTTACACAGTCTTTAATCCCCATACTTGATATTTAAATGATTTGACAGTTATATTTCCCTGTGTCAACTTCTGAATTTCAATAAAATTTAGATTGCTAGAGATTTCTCATATCTTTGATCCAGAATATATGGTTATTGACATGTGACTGAAAGTTTCCTTTCTGGTATCAGGATATAAATATATTTAGGAATCACAACCAGCCACTTCGAAGAGGCACTTTTTCAAATCTTTTAATACTGTGAATGAAACAGGACAAAAAATCATTATCACCCTAGACGAAGTACTAATAAATCCTTTTCTTGAATAAGAAAATAGACTGATTCCAGTATATGGAATTACATCTCTTTTGAGAGCTTAGAGCTTAGACAATTCTTTATTTAAGTGTGTTAAAAACTGACGGTGAAGGTAGGACACTTGTCAAACTCTGGTATCAATTTTTGAAATTATAAGCTTTGAAAAAATCTACTAGGTAATCTAAGCAAATAATTATGGTTTTTAAAGTACCTGGAAAGTTAATTCCTCTTTCATTGTGTAAGAGACCTTTTAAGTCTCCATATATGTGTGTAATCTAGAATCAAATGCATTTGTCAGGGACAAAACAACAGTGAAGAATAACTAACAAATCAGTGGTAAATGCTCTGATAAAGAAAAGGCTGATATCTAGGCCATTCTGTTCTAAAAGACAAATTATATTTAACAAATAGGATTCATCAGACTGAGAATATATATATTACTAATGTCCATGTTTCTAAAAGTTAGACAGAAAATAATAGCCACTGTGACATTTTCAACTTCACTGTTCCATCCCTTTCCTCTTTTGAATAATCACTTCAAGACGCTAAATTTTAAACTAACCATACCTGCAAGCAAGAAATATGCTCCAATACCTGTAATATGCAAATTGACTCTGAATTTCCATATGTGGCTATAGTATCATCTTATTTTCTCTCCTTTCACTGTTAAATTTGTCAGCCAAACTTGAAACCCTTGAACATTTGGGAAACATATACCGAAAACACATTTAATTCCAACAAAGTTTTTTCAAAGTTATGGAATGGTAGAAGGCAACTTTTAAGTCCATTTCTGCCCTCAGACTTTTGTCCTTGTCCCATCTGCACAATCAAAGACAACATTAGACTGCAGTGATCAGGAACTAACTGAAGTGTTCTCTTGAGAATGCTTTCTCCAGAAGGGCACTTTTCTGAAGCCTTCTCACCTTTATTATAGTTAAGGATTATCAGATGCCAATGTGCAAATTAGTTTTCAAATCACTTCTGAGGAACCCAACATTTTGTTCTCCTAATTAGTCAAATGATGGAAATGCACACCCTCTACTTTGATTAGCTCCAGGTCTCTATGAGAATTCAAATGACTCCATACTTTGAGACTAATTTGATTAAAAAACACTTTCAACATGTTGCTTAGTCATATCTGACTACAGTTTCTGGTTAAGAAGCCAAGTGTATTACAGTTCCTATGATTCCTCTTTCCCATACAATATTACTTGCATTCTAAAAGTTCTCAATGTCTTCATGACAGCTAGCAAACTTCATTACCAGAAAATATTAATTCTGCAAACTATTCAGCTCTTAAGATTTGTGATCTAACCCCACGTATTTATCAAAAGCATCACATTTCAATAGAACTGATAACTAACTTGCCATTTGTTATTTTTGCACACATTTACTTATCTGTCATTCAGGCCACTCTTCAGATGCACTTGTCTTTCTTTACATTGAAATGTTTGTGCTTGGTTTAGACAATGAGAATTTGGCTTCTGAAAGATCACATAAATCCCCCTGCAGCTCTTTCAGATCAGTTTATCTGCAACACCATTCAGTTTCTGACCTCATCTTACCTCCCCTTCCCAATCCTGAGGAAATGACTCATTTTGTTCTACTGTATTTCTCTTCACAACACAGAGTTCTCTCCCTTCCAACTCATCACATCCCTCTATATAAGCCGTAGGAATTTAAGACTGGGAGAGATTTTCAGCCATTCAGTCTGTGGAAAGGCAGTATTCTGACACTTCACAAGGACTGCTTCAAGAATTCAGATTAGAACTTCTCACTCCCAAAGAAAGATTCTTACTCTTAGATCTACAATTTTTCCCACAAATTTTATCTTCACCTCTTCTCCACCAAAATGAACCAAGCTAAATTAGGGTCATTGAGTAAAACAGAGCTTTGCAGTATGTTTCATCTTCAGCAACAATAACATCTCAAGTGAGATGGCTGTAGCGAATTTTTTAAATAATCAGTCTTTTATTTTTTATTTGTTAATAAGCAAAGAAAAGCTCAACTAAAATCAAAGACTTCTCCAAGAAAAGTAAAGTAATGCTTGTTTATCCCTGAAACTACAAACCATAAAAGTTCTGTTAATGAGTCTTTTCATTACATGTTTGCTGGAAAAAGATTGGAATTAAAATCCAATACAGTAATTTAAAACATTCAAGTTTTCTCAGTCTCAAGTTCAATATAACTTACAGGTTATTTTATATATTTTATGTCTCTCACAATTAGTGAAATTGGGTTGAAACTGGATAGCCTATTCAGAGGCATTTAGGGGCTCACCAGACAGAGGTGGACAATCCAGCAGCATATTTTTCTTTTATTTTCTCCTTAAGAATCCAGATTTTAAAAAAAACCAAACCAAACCAAACAAAACAAAAACAAAACAAAAAATTACCAAAAGCCAAACATTATTCACTGCCACTAAGAACTGATTCCAGTAGAATGTAAGTCAGATTTCCAACCTAATATATTACATGGCATTCTCTAGAGCATGTGCTGGCTTGCACCCAGCGCACTCCTGCAAAGCTAAGAGGGGAAAAGACACTTAGAGCAGTCAGATTTGCAATGCCTGAACTACTAAGATAGGAATCACCTCTACCTTACTTTCCTTATTTCAATATAAAAGGTGTGTATAGATCAGAATTTGCTGATTAGTTTTTAATTCTGCAGAAGTTGCTACTCCATTCCTTTGCATCTTCAAATTAAACCAATCTCTGGCTACATTTCTCAACCTCTCTGTATATAGAGATCTACAGTAATAAAAAAAAACCCAAAATAAAAGCAAAAGAAGAAAACTCAAAAAATGAAAGAAAAAAGTTGTGTTCCTATGAATATTTCATTACTGAAGTAATTAAAATGTGTGTATATTTACATTTAGAGACATTTTGTATTTATTTTTTTTTCTTCTCCAACACACTAAATGAAGAATAGTCTAAAGCTGAAGGTATGAGACAAGGATTGTTGACTTTATGTAACTGTTACTCTTAAGATTTCCAGTACAACTTTAGAAAAGTCAGTTTCTACCTATCTCTGAATTTCCTTTATGCAGCTATGGAGAACTCAGCTATGGTATCTTACAACTGAACTGTGAGGCCAGTTCCGGAAGGAATGGCACACTCAGCTACTGCATTAATAGAGACTTTGTAAATATAATAGATCAGTCTATTATTTTTATATTAGTCTGAATATTATAGATCAGTATAATTCCTTCCACAGAACATTGCCTCTTTGAAGGCTCCAGATACAGTTTCATATACAGTCACAGAAGAAATCTCTCATACATGGCAGAAGTAATGACAGTATCATCATGTAATCTCGCTAACAAGAGTTAAAGAGATTTAAAGCTCTTGCATTAAAGTTTGGTAGATTATATGTCTGACAGCATTTAGCTAAGACATCTGTAGCTGTCAAGTATAATCACTGTAATGAATGTTCTTCTGTAATCTAAGAGACAACTATTCAGCAAATTTTTAACATCTGGCTAGTCAGCGACTTTTCAGCTAAAGAGGTCAAAACATACTATTTTTAGAAAGAACTGTAATTCAAAGACTCTTTTTCTACTTCTACTTTTGTGGTATATATTCCTGTAATATTTTAGCCCTCAAAATCTGCAGGAAGCATATTATTAAAACTGCACAGAAAGCAAACACAAATTTTTGGAGTTTCACCATGCCACAGAATATCTTTAGTTCATCAGCTGGTAGGAAAGGGCACCATTTCACATAATTACCTCCATGCTCCCATTGTTATTTAAATGTTTATTATGCAGCCAAAACTAAAGGCAGAGTTCTAAGGAAATACATTTTCCTAATCCACAATTGTTTCTTTAATTCATTTTCTTGTAATGCGTCTAAAGATTTAGCTGCATTTCTGTAGAAAAGCATCATTCCTTTTGCAAAGAAGAGTCATAGAATAGACTCACAGAATGGTTTGAATTCGAAGGGAATTGCACAGGTCATCCAGTCCAACCCCTCTGCAATGAGCAAGGCACATCCTCAAGCAAATCAGGCAGCTCAGAGTCCCATTCAACCTGACTTAATGTTTATAAGGGTGGGGCACCCATCACCTCTCTGGGCAGCTGGTGCCAGTGTTTCACCACCCTCATAACAATTCTTTCTTATATATTTCCCCTCTTTTACTTTAAAACAATTATGCCTTGAAATCTGTCCCCATCTTCTTTACAAAATTCTTTTCTGTGTGTAAGGCTGCTAGAAGGTCCCCCTGAAGCCTTTATCTTTTCCAGACTGAAGAACACAGGCTCTCTCAGCCTTTCCTCATATGAGAGGTGCTTCAGCCCTCTGATAATTTTTGTGGCCTTCCTCTGGAATGGCCTTCCTCTGGACTGACAGCAGATCCATGTCTTTCCTGTACTAAGGATCCCAGAGCTGGATGCAGAACTCCAGGTGGGGAGCAGAGCAGAGAGGGAGAATCCCCTTCCTTAACCTGCTGTCCATGCTGCTTTTGATGCCACCCAGGACATGGCTGGCTTTCTGGCCTGTAAGTGCACACTGCCTGCTCATGTCCAGTTTTTCATCCACCAATATCCTCAAGTTCTTCTCATGGCTGCTCTCAATCCCTTCTCTTCTCAGCCTTTATTTATACCAGGGGCTGTCCCGGCCCATGTACACAACCTCACATTTGACCATGTTCAACACAATGACGATCATGTGAACCCACTTCTCAAGCTCATCCACATCCCTTTGGAGGCATCCCACCTTCTGGCATGTGAACTGCACCACCCATCTTGGAGTCAACCACAAACTTGCTGAGAGTGTGCCTGACATGAAAATGTACTGATCTCTGAGGGACACTACTTGTCAGTGATCCCCATCCAGAGATTGAGTCATTGCCTACTCCCCTCTGGACACAACCATCCGACCAATTCCTGATCCATTGAACCAACCATCCATCAAATCCACACCTTACCAAGTCAGAGAGAAGGATGTTGGGAGGGACCAAGGCCTTACAGAAGTCCAGACAGATGAGGGCTGTAGCTGTTCTCTTGTTCACTGATACAATCATTTGATCACAGAAGGCCACTTTGTCCCTGCCTTTGGTGGAGCTGTGCTGGCTGTCCTGAATCACACCTCTGTCCTCTGTGTGCCTCAACACAGCTTCTAGGAGGATCTGTTCCATGATTCCCAGGCAGAGTAGAAACCCCGAAGGTGAGGATAATATCCTGTCAGCTTACCAGTTCCTAGCCTCCTTCTCTCTACTCTTTTTTAAAAATGGGTGCAATATTTCCATTTTCTCAGTCACCAGGGACTTCACCTGATTTCCATGACTTTGCAAGTATAATGGAGAGTAAGTACCCTCCACTTGACCTAGACCTTCTAAAAATATTTGAAATACTCTATAACCAGAGTGATACACTGTTGTAATGACTGCTGCTTAAGGAAAGGGTACAGTCATTGGGGCTCACTAGTAACCTCAACAAACTCTTGCAGGTGCCCTCTCATCTTCTCATAAGGTAGATCATCAAGAAAAGAAGTTAATGACTGATTTTTCTTAGAAATAAGAAATTAAAAGTAGAATTGATTACAACTGACTCTTGCAGAACCATTTTGGCAGTGTCCTTAATACTGAGACCAAGAACAGCCAGGATCCAAAATGCCATTTTTTACTAACTGCTTAGCCTTTTTAACAAGATTCAACACAATAAAATCAATCAAGGAAACAAGTAAAACACTTCAAATATAAATGGATAAACAGCTTAAGGGACTTTGCTGTTACAATATCTTATTCTGGTATGAATACCATTGCTATAGCAAAAGGAAAAGGACAGATTAAAACATGTATTATGGTATTTGTACTTACGCCAAGTGTTCATGAACCCCACTGTCTATCTACAGTAGCACTTGCTAAAGGTAAAAACAGAAAACAGTGCATCACTGATATTCACTTGCTTTGGGCAGTCATTAATTACAAGATTTCAAGAGCTGGAGTTGACATCATATTTAATAGGATGGATTTGTGTTACAAAACCTTACAGAATTGTTTTTTGAACCTATTTACTAGACCAGTAGATCTTACTGTATAACAGTACGAAAATACATTCATGAGAGAGATTCAAAATAACTGATTTCTAAAAGGTTTCCAGAGCTGGGTTCCACAGCAAGGAGTTCTGCAGAAGCCATTCTCAGTAGGTGATTTTGTTTTAGTATATATCAGTTAACAACCTGAATAAGCTGATGGAAAAAAAATGATAGGCAAAAATAAGTGGATTTTTGGCTCTGCTATTGAAGGAGATGACTTTTTAATAAACAGCACCAGACAGGTTATTAAGCTAAAGCTTTTAGACATACTTTTACTTGACACTAATCAATATTTTCATATTTTCATCAATAACATAAAAGAAGTACATATTCTGTCATGTGAATAACATACTGATAAAAATAAAACTGATGCAGAAGAAAAAAAGGAATTACCTTCTTGTGTTTTTTTGCTGTGTATTGCAGTCAGAATGTTTAATTGCAGCTGAAACTTTTTGCTTAGCCAGGATTATTTCTTTAGCCTAAAATAAAAATAGACAAAACATAATTCTCATAAAAGTTGACACTTTTGCTTGCAAGCATTTAAATAATCTTTCAAAAATAGAAAATTGTGAGTGTCTGCATACATTTTCTCTTGTGACATTTACTCTTTCTGTTACATTTTAACACTTCACTCAGCATGAAACACAGACATAAGGCAAGTTAAACCAAATTATCTGAATGGAAATAGAGTCAAACATTTATAAAATTATACATAAAAGAGTTTTTAAATACATACATCTACTTGTGTTTAAATACATACCATCTAGTTTAGCACCATGTTAATAACGCACATTACTGACTGCATTTTGGTTCTGCTGTCCAAGTACATGTTCTGAATTTTTTTTTTTTAAATCAGCTGCAATCTCCTCACTCAAATGACAAGTGACCACAAACTCCCTCAGCTCCTTTGCTAAAACAGAAACTTAGGTTCAAAGTCCAGATGAATTCCCCTTCTCAAAGAAAACACGTCTATCATGTCTATCATGATATTTTAGAAGACTGGTTATTAACAAAAGAGTATCTCATTCCAAAAGGATGTCTTGTCTCTTTCTCTTCATAACAGTATGGGAGAGGGATCCCTTAAGAATCTGAAAGGAGGAAGAACAGGAACTATACCAAGTAGTTCATATTATTGACTGTTTCATAGTCCAATTGATTTGAGAGCAGTCTGCTCCAGAAGCCCTTTGAATTTAGTCTCCACTCTGAACCCCAAATTATATAAAGACAGAGTCTGTACCTTCAGTCATCTGTTTCTGGAAATCAGTGTGAAGAGGCTGAACCCCTCTGGTTCTGTATATGCTCTGATGACAGAAAGAAAGCCTTGTTTCTTTCTACCTTTCCTCTTTTTGAATGTTCTTTGTTTCTAACAGAAATTAATTCTGCTGATCCCCTTGAGACTCGTGCTTCTTACTTTGTCCTCAGAGCACACCACCAAGGATGGTGAAGAAAGGTGCTGATTCTGCACTCCTAAGAAAATACATCCTTGACAAGAATTGACCTTGGAACTTAGGAAGGGTTAGGATTTGCCTACTTTGGGCTCAGTGGTAAGATAACAGTGTGAAATTTGAAGCCTGTGGTATATAAGAAAATTGACTAAATTAATATAATGAAGCTTTCTGAAAGTTATTCTTTGATACTAATATTTACAATACTAATACTACGATTTCTAATATTTACATTTTTCTGTACAGTTCTGGGCACCACAATATAAAAAGACATGAAGTTGAGAGCACGCAAAGGAGATCAAAAGGATGGTGAAGGGTCTGGAGGAGAAGCCGTATGAAGAGTAGCTGAGGTCACTTGGTGTCCTCAGCCTGGAGGAGGTGGAGGGGAGGCTTCATTGAGGTCTGCAATGTCCTCATGAGAGGAAGAGGACAGGCAGGCACTGATCTCTTCTCTCAGGTGACCAATGACCCAAGAGAATGCCTGGAGCTGTGTCAGGGGAGGTTTAGGATAGATATTGGGAAAAGGTTCTTCACCCAGAGGGTGGTTGGGCACTGGAACAGGCTCTCCAGGAAAGTGGTCACAGCACCAAGCCTGAGAGAGTTCAAGAAGTGTTTGGACAATGCTCTCAGGCACATGGTGTGACTCTTGGGGTGTCCTGTGCAGGGCCAAGACTTGGATTTGATGATCCTGATGGGTTCCATCCAGCCCAGCACATCCTATGAATCTATGATTAATTAGAAAACAGAAAATGCACCCCTTTTAAGATCATTGTCAAAGGATTCTGGATAGAGATATTTTAAATAAAATCTGGAGTATATTTGAAAAAACAGAAGGGATATCTGAAAGCCATATTTTTATTCATATTTTCAGTCCATCTTTTTTTTCCTACAATGGCTTTCTTATTCTACAATGGGAATTTCTCTGAGTAAACAGATTTTCCCTGAAACGCATTTATGCTGAAGGATTATTAGATTTCTAGGGTTCCACAGCTGTGTCTCCACATGCCTTTGATGGTAATGAAATATTACTGCATTTACCATACCTAGATAAGTAAGAATTATATAAAGTAATTCTATCAAATAACACTGACATGCATAATACACACCACTCCTATTCTTAGATTAATTAAAGAAACTAACTCTCATTGATCTTTAAATTTCTAATCTCTTTTGAAATCCCCAGCAATAAAAAGCTGTCAGCATTCATTTGTGGCTGGTAATATAATAAAGAATTAATCAAAAGTCCAAATTTTACTCTCTGACTCACTAAAATGAGAAAAAGAAAGTTTTAAAACATGACAGAGGGTGTCTCAGAACCCTAAATAAAACCTGCTTGTTAATAACACTGGTGTTTGATGCTTTTAGAGAGGCAGTGATTAAAATGCTGGTGTAATGTACTAATGACATTTTATGAAATCATTTATTTAATATGCCAATTTTAGTCAAATTCTATTAAAGAGTCTCCCAATTTTTCATTTGCCTGCATCATCTGCAAAGATGATGCTACCAGAGCATAGAGGTTCAAAATCTGAGAAGTTTCATGTCACAAATATTTTTCCCAGAACACAAGGCATGTACAAGGTAGTCACTGTTACCTTACTCATGTAAAATCTCCATACAAAGGATTATGGCAGTATAAACACTACACTTTGAAAGTGTCACAATATTATTTCACTGAACATTGTGTCCTTCAGTTTCTTTTGATGACCTTCCAAAAAATGTTGGTAAACACTGCCTTAGAAAGGCACCCATTATGTGGTCATTTGTTGTGTAGCAAGTAATATGATTAAAAATATATTTCCAGAAATGAATGTGAAAATTATTCCTTTCTTTTACTTCATGTGGAATTTATTATCTCCAACATCTGTGATGTGACAAGCTCATCAGAGTGGCAAGGAAAGAGGTTTTGCTTTTGTTTTTAAAGACTAGGAAACTATAAACAGGCTGGAAGATGAATGGTGAAAGGTTTATTAACCTGATCAGAAGCTCACTAAAACAAGTGAAAACCACTTAGAATTCAGATAGATTTCTATTGTGTAACTGAGAAGAGATATTTTTAGGATACTATTGCATGAAGCTTATTATAGGAAACTATTTTTAGATTAGTGGACAACATTTCAGTTATGTAAGGAATGTGCTAGGCTATTTATCTAGCTGCAAAACAAAAAAAATATTTTCATAACTGTTTTTCAGAAACAAAAGGATAAAATACAGCGTAATATAGTCATTAAGCTTGTCTTGTCACAGATACAGCCTGAAAGAAGTTGAATGTATTCTGGTCTTCCTATTAACTTACTAAGAGGAATTCCCATTAAGTTGCTGATCTTGAACTAGTATTCTGAAGCACTGATAAAATCAGCCACAATGTCCTGCAAGAAAATATCTATTGCCCTTCCTGTTTTCAATCATTATTCATTTACCTTTCTTCGTCTATTACATCTATTACATCTCATTAGTCATAATGATAAAATTTGTATGGTTAGAGATCATCTGAAGAGGATCTGTGCCCCAAAAATTTAAACTGAGCATTCTATTTCAGTCCTAGGGTAATAGAACAGATTCTGTGGCAGTAAAAAGAACAGTGAACAATAGGTTAGTATCCTTTACATGCAATTGCAGTGAAGTAACACAGATCCATCTTTGGTCAGCAAATCCATGAACTACACAGGATCACAGAATGCTGGAGATTGGCAAGGACCTGTGGAGATCATCTAATCCAAATCCCTGCTCAAGCAGAGCCCACTTGAGCCAGTTGCTCAGGACCACGCCCAAGGTTTTAGAGTATCTCCAGGGATGGAGGATTCACAACCTCCCTGGGGGACCTGTGCAGACACCTGGTCACCCTCACAGTCAGAGTTTCCTGGTCTTCAGAGGGAACTCCTGCATTTCAGTCTGTGTCCACTGTCTCTGGTGCTGTCACTGGGCACCACTGGCTCTGACTCTTTGCACCATCCCTTTAGGTATTTCTCTGTATTGGTAAGATCCCCTTGAGCCTTCTCTCCTCCAGGTTGGACAGTCCCAGCTCTCTCAGCCTTCCCTCACAGGAGAGTTGTTCCAGTTCCTTGATCATCTTTGTGGCCCTTTCCTGGATTCTCTTCAGCAGATCCATGTCTCTCTTGCACTGGGGAGCCCAGCACTGGATGCAGCACTCCATGTGTCTCTCACATGGGGGGAGGGATGAGGGGGAGGATGGCCTCCCTCCACCTGCTGGCAATGCTCCTCAGCTGCTCAGAACACAGCTGGTGTTCTTGGACAGAAGAGGGTATTGCTGACTCATGTTCAGCTACCAAGACTCCCAGGTGCTTTTCTGCAAAACTGCTTCCCAGAATCCACTGACAACAAAGACACCCTGCAGCATTCCATTCAGGCATCTCTCCCTGTGTCCAAGCTACTCAAGCAGTTTTAACCAAACCGAGTCCAAGCTGAGAACATCAACCCAGTTATTCTATAGTGCTTCTCTCTCTTCGTATTCTACAAATATCTGAGATTCATGTATTCTGAGATGAAGTATGCTCCAGAGCCGCAGACTAGGCAAAATATGTAGGTGTAGATAAAATATCAAGGTAGGTTAAATATAAAGATAATAATGGAATAAAGGCAGTTCTCAATCAGGGTATGAAGAGAGAATATTCATTTTGCTGATTTAGGTATGATTCTATAAGTAGGTAGCAGAGTTAATATATATCCAGAAACACTTGGAAATATTTACATTTTCTAAGGCATTGATCATCCACAAAGGAACTAGCAAGATGTATGAGTAATAAAAGCAGGGTATGGGACAGAAACTGCAAAGACAAGTAACTATTAAACAAAAAAAAACTTATACATTTGAAAATTACACTATCTAAAATTACAAATGTCAAGGTCTCATTTTCAAACAAATTTATGGAAACATAAATTATCATTTGAGTGAATTTTGAACATTCAGAAAATACATACCTTAACCAAGTAACTACAGTTTGCAGTATTCTTACAGTTTTTGGCATAAATGCATGTTTGATGCTAGAGTGACAGTTTGTGATTCGATGAGGGCCTGTCCTCATAGGGACAGACAGATGGTATGGGACTGGAGTGTAGAAGGGAACATAGAAGGTAATAACCACAAAAGTTAGAGCCAAAAGTTAGAGCTACTAGATGGATAGTCTCAGAATTAAATCAGAGCACAAAGAGAAAAAAACGACCCCATATAGCAGGTGAAGCTATTTCAGCTAAATAGCTTCTTCCTTCAGAAGGAAATGCTTCTGTATTTGATATACAAGGAAATGCAAATGTATTTGATATATTCTGGTGAACTCACACATATCCCCTTACAAAACAGAAAATTTCCTAAAGGCCAGAAGGGTAAGGCTAGGTATTTGATATATTCTGGTGAACTCATACATATCCCCTACCCTTACAAAACAGAAAATTTCCTAAAGGCCAGAAGGGTAAGGCTAGAGCACCAAGAGATTGGTTTTTCACTGTAACTATCCTTGGGCAGGATTATTGTATTACAGAGGCCTAAAAAGCAACCCAACCCTCCCAAGACCAGAGCAGAAGATGCTGCAGTTGATTAACTTCTCCCTCAGCATCCAGAACCCCACCATATAATCCATTCTCATCTCTAGAACTCCACCTCCCTAGAACTTCCAGCTCCCTGTCTGCTCCAAGCAGTGTCAGTTTAAACACCATGTTGCCGCAAACTTCTTGCTCTATGGTCAGAGCAGTTTGTACAGCTGGTCAGGGGATCCTTTCCAGAGGATGCCAGGCAGAGCATGAAGGGAAAATGAATTAAGCAACTCTTTTTCCAAACACATGAGAAATGAGAGTAGTGCATCATCCCTTTATTTGAACAAATATGTAACCTTCATACATATGTGTGCCATACAAATTTTGATAAACTGATTTGTTCTTATTATTTCACAAGTGGAAAAAGGAAGTAGGTATGTGTTTATTTTCATTATTTAAAAAAAAAAAACCTATCTCCTTAGACATTTGCATAATACTGCACGTTTTGCATAGTCTCTTTTAGCACATAAAAAGCTGATCTTGTTTAAAGTAAAGGAAATATGAATTTCTATTAATACTGATTTTTGTTATGCTCCTTTAGAGGGATTTTAAATACTAAGGCTTGGGTCTGCAATTAAATTGTCTTTATGCAATGTTCCTTTTTTTGGAAAATATGCCCTGATGGGAAAGGCAAGACTGCATATCTTTAGCAAGCCAGATGTTACCTGTAACTCAGAGACATTCCCAAAGTACTCACAACATTTAAGGACCTTTGTGTGATGTCTCCTATTTTACATACCTTTGGCATGGTGACAACTAAATGGCCAGTTGTTTGTGATCTTTTAGCAGAGCTGCTGTCTGGCTTCACTTCCTCAGGGAGCACAAGCTGAAAAGGCTATGAAACAAAATGGAATTGAAGTAGATAATGCTAAAATATTTTTTTCTTTCTTTTACATGGACAAAACAAATACAAAGCTACCATTATCACATCCTTTGATTTTAAGGACATTGCAGGTCTAAATGCTTTCACTTTATGTATGGTATTACTAAACCTAATAAATTATGCTAAATAGCTTTTGCTTACAAGTAGTGTCAGATGTATGTTGCTGAATTGCTGCCATTCCTGAAGTGGCATTTCTAAAGAAGGTTATAAATGATGCTTGACTTATATTAGCAATTAAATGAGAAAGATTATCCAGTCTATTTTGACATAAATCAATTCTCAAGTTTTGTTTATGCAGTTGGCTCAGTTAAAAATAGGGATTTTGGTTTACTGTGGAAGTACTTTGATTTTTTTTCTAAAATGATGATAAAATTAAAACCACTGTGAAGAGAGAACACTAGAACAACATTTTAAATGCCCTTCCAAAAGAATATACATCCATTGGTTTCTGTCAGCTACAAATTCCAGATTGTGAAATTGCTAAATTCTAGCCTAGGGCAACTAGGAAGCTCTCTTCTAAAATGAATTATGGTACACTGTGTGGGGGGAGTAAGAAGAGAGGAGAAAAGGAAAGTGAACTTTTATTTCAGGCTTTGTACATCTGGTTAGGATTTCCACAGTTTATGTGTGGTTCAAAATGATGCTGGTATTGAAAGAACATTCTCTCTGCATAGATGCAAATGATTGGTAACTTAAAGAAGTCAGATCCAGAGTCCACTGAATAACTATGGCAAACATGAACTCTTGATTTGAAATGAATGTAAAAGAAATCACAAACCTTTCCCTTCACCAGTACTCGTATGTAAGTTGGCTGCACATCAACATCAAGTAAAGAAGTGTCCAAATGTCTTCAGAATGAAATATAAATAAATGAATCAATCAACAAAGACCATAGAGCTCTTTCAAATTTTCACGGTTTATAAAGCACAAGCTTAAATTTCAGTTATTAAATTTTCCAAAATACTATTAGGATTTAAAGTTTTGGGGAAAAACACCCCATGATCTTCCTATGAATGTCACTTATAATTATGTCTAAATTCTGTCAAGTCCATGACATTAATTATTGTATAACTGCAAGAATTCAAAATCCTTGAGGAAAACAAAAAGCTCTTTCATCTGTTAGTTTAGTTCTTTACATTAATATGAAAATTAATCTATGTGCTATTTAAAATTGTGAAAATAATTTCCTACTTTTCCTTCTGAAGGTTTTCCTACTAAAATTATAATAGAAATTCCCTTTTTTTTGTACAGAATTTGCTGGAAAACAATGAACAGATATACCTTCTATTCCCAGAAAACACAGTAATTTTAAATCTTTCAAACAAAATTTGTGGCCTGTAAAAGCTCCACTTTTACATCTGCTCTTCCCTATGTGACACCTGCTGTGACTCATGGAAATGCACAAGTACGTATTTCCCATTTCCCTTCTTTTATAACATTACTTTACAGTTGAATTTTTCAAATGTTTTAGTCTGCATTTCTTACAAGTGAGCATAGAATATTAAAATATGGACTACCCAGGGTCCCAAGGTGTTCAAGAAATGACTGTACATGGCACTTAGTGCTGTGGTGTAGTTGACAAGGTCATGATGGTTCAAAGGTTGGACTTAATAATCTTGAAGGTCTTTTCCAACCTAAATGATTCTGTGATTCTGCAGTACATCCAGCAATTTATTGCACCTGAAGAGATTTTCTGAGGTTCCAGAAAAAGATCTGTATCTTATAAGTCAGAAACACAGAGCAAATCTCTTCTGAGGGAAATTAATGACTTTCAAGGGAAGCACACCAGGCATGAATAATATTTTTGTGCTATAAAACTAGTTCAAGTTTTATGTAACAAGTTCCTATTATGGATAGATACATTTGTGGGTTTCCAGCCCCTTCCTGAAGAATGGAAAAGGTCATTGTAATGCTTAGCAGTATAGGTACTACCTCCTTGTCATATTTTGCCTGATTCAACCAAATTTCTTGCAAGCAAGGCTCTGGTACATTTCAAGAGTAGGCACAAGCCATAGACTCTTTCCACTAATCAAGGAAAATAAGACAAGTCTACTCTACTCTGTCTCAGGGAGAAGAAGAATTTAACTAGAAGCACACAAACTGTACTGAAGCACTTCTAGGGCCAAAGCATGAGCAAAAAATCCACTCCCTACAGCCCTTATCTGCAAAGGAAGAACGGAAAAGATTTTACATACGTATAAGAGAACAGGTGTGGAAGACACCTGCCTGTGGGCTGCAGAAAATATCAGTTCCCAAAAGGACTATTAGACACAGTTTCCATTCAGGATTAACAGAACAGTCTGAAGGGCCTTTGGCTTATTCAGCTTCACTTCTTTGGCACAGGTTTTGAGATTGGTTCCATTATCCACTACATTATTTGTTTTCTTCTTGAAAAGTCCCCATTATAGAGAGCAGTATAATTAAAACACTGTGTATTACATCTCATGAGTGGCAAAAATTATTGGGAAAAAAGATCTGACCTGTAAACAGCAAGATCCAAGATGATCTGATTGTTTTCTTCATCATCTTTCAGAGAGAAACGAAGCCTAATAACAATGACAAGAAACACCTCCAGGATAAATATTGCTGGAGTGAATAAGCAAACATTACAGCATAGTTCAAATGTTAGCAATTTTAGATGAATACAAACACCATTTATACAATATGTCATGTGATTATTCAGAAACAGTTGCAATTTGCCCCATGAACAGAAAAAAGTAACTGGCATTTGAGCCAAGGTCATTCTGATATTTATTTTCTGTTCTCCCCACTGAAACCACAAGAAAAAGAAAAAAAATGCTCTGCTGAAGGTCAGTTAAAATTAAGTTTATTCTGACAATGCAGAACGAGAGACATCTGCTGGTGAAACCTGTCTGCTCTATTACATCTTCATAGAAAAAAACTGCTCCAAAATGCATGAAAAACACGAACTTTGTCATTCTAGACTTATTGTATGTTTAAAAAATATGCACTTTTTTTACAGTAATTGATTTGCCCCAAGTATGAAAATCTGTCTGTGCATTTCCAGAGTAAAACAAGATTTGCATAATATCCTTGATTCTATAAGCTTTATATTTGTTGAAAATGAGCCTGTAGATTGTATTAGCTGTGTGTTTGTGAACTGCTGGCTGTGTTCTTAAAATTGAGTACGAATCTTAACAGTTATAAATTGATGCTATCTATTATTACAACTGTAAGGAGATCTAGTCTAGACTTACAAGTTCTGCTCATATGCTCAAACATTTCCCATGTATGAAAGCAGAGAGAAAAGAGAATGAAATTACCTACAAATGAGAAGCTTTTGATAAATTAGTTTTTAGTATTAAATGAAAAGATTTTGCTTAATATAATTTATCTGGGCTATTTCAGTGACATTAAAATACTTAGATAAGATGGGTTCAGGTAATTGAAAGATGCTCAAAATATTAACAGATTAGATGATAAATTTTTTCGGCAATAAAAATATTTTATAGATATATTTTTCACTCTTTGCTCTCCTATATTCCGGAACAGTCAATTTGCAAGAAAGTTTACAAAGGGTTGTAGTTTATGAATATTTTTTAATGGAAAAGTGCAAAGAATATAAAACAGCTTTATTTCCTGTCTTACTGCATCACTGATCTTGAGAATCCATTAAAACATAAAGGGTGAACAAGAGGACAGAATCATAAAATTTTCCAGGAGGAATCTTAATTAGAACTGAAGAAGAGAAACAGTCTGTCCTCAGCAGCAAGCAGACATCCCTCTTGCTAACTTTCCAAAAGAACATCAGAGAAGTTTGGACATTTTTATGGACATGAGACTTCCACGTTGAAGCAAAAACTTTGGAGAACACCATCTGCTTACTTGTATCTCATTCTTTATCTCTCTCCAATACACTGCCAGATTGCACTGAACAGCTGTGACATTCTTGTTGAAGTCATGACAAAAAATGCTCATTGGTCTGCCTTTATGTGGGCACATCCACAGACTAAATTCAGAAAACTCGGGTGACACAAACAGGGATGCTACTAACAGTGAACTCTGATTCTTCTAAAAAAAGATAGCTAGATATTTAGTCTAAATGTCTCTGCTTTTTAGAGGCACAAGCAACTTCTATTAACATAAGATTTAAATTATTTTAGGCTTGTTTTTTGGATTAGAAAATGATACAATTTTTTTTTTTTTAGTCAACACATTTTTACTGAAAAAAGTATATCAATACAATGGAAAGTATCTTCTGGTATAGATAGACTAAACATGGCTCTACATGACACTAAACATGGCTCTACATGACACTAAACATGACACTAAAATCTTCCACTATCTTTAACTCTCTCTCTTCTACTGAAAACTCTGCACTACATAAAATTTCTTGAATTTGCAAGGACTTCTAAATTTCTAAGATTTAGAAAGCAGTCTTCATGCTAATGATAAGCATGTTCATAGATTTGGTTTTGCAGCTAAATCAGTCTTAAAAGGAAAACCTTCTTCACAGGACAGCAGAGAGGTAAGTGGCCACTTTCTCATCCCACTCTGCTGCAGGAGGCCCTATGGGGAGCTGTTTACAAGGAATAATGTTTGCACTCAATCCCCTGCTTTCCCTTAGAAAATGAAGGTTTGGTTCAAGTAAAATCAATGGCTGATATCCCTGGAAACTCATTCCAAAACACCCGAAAATCCAAACGCCTTTGTCAATGGTAAAACACAAGACACTCCTCTGTATCCCCATGCTGTGTTGCTGGAGACCTCACTCAGGGTCACAGGGCCTCTTGACACAGGAGCTGATTATCCTTCCCAATTCTGCCAGTGTTACACCTGTCATAGGAGGACAGAATGATTTTGTCCAGAAAGATTACTGGGATGTATCTTTTCACATTTAAAGTGACTTCTTATTCACATTTATCTTCAACAGTTAAACTTTTTACACTATTAGCAAGATGCTCCAAGAAAGAGCCTTACTATAGAAGGGAAAAGACTAAAATATCTTATATCATTTACAGAAAAACAAGTTCTTCAATCTTTAAAGACAAAGATGTTAAACAATCTTCAACACTTAACGCAATGACAATTGATTCTTTTTCCACATCAGAATATAAATTTAGAATACAGTTGTCCCACAAGGAATATAATCACTGCAACAAGAATTTCTCAGCCCTCTTATTTTTGGATTGTCACATATATTGAAATAGTTGCCCAAATCAACTACAGAGAGATAAAACTGTTTAACCTCTTAACCTCACATACTTAGGCACATTCACATTCAGAACTTTTCCTTCTGCAGTGACCAATGTCCAAGCAGTCTTCTCTCTCTTTTTCGATTCCCTTAACAAAACAGAAAGAAAAATTGTTTATGGTTAAATCATTAAAAAGTGGCACTATTATGTTTAATAGCAAAAATAAAGAAAAGGATGGCAAGAGATAAGAATTGTCTAGTATTTGATGTTAAGGATACAATTTAGTTCAGGAACAAAACAGATTGCATCACAGGTCCAATTGCACATTGAAAACATTATTTAAAGATGAGAAAATAATTTATAATGTCACAACTTACATGGACAGTGACTTCTACTGCATGTCACCATGTCCATTACCAAACAGAAATATATCAAATTGTCTGGTCTACCACAAGAAAACCATGGATGGCTTAAATGTATGAAATGGGACATTTTTCTAGTTAGGAATGGTCAAAAGCATCATGAGATGTTGCCACTGAAAACTGGTTTGATGCATGGGCAAGCAATTCTAAAGAATTTCTATTCATGCTCACTTGATTACTCCTACTGAACAAATGCCTGGCCTGCCTTCAAAGAGCATCTGTCTCTCGATCACTATTTTGCTCCAGCAAAAAGAATTTCAATGGTCAAAAGATTAAAAGCAGCATCAAATAGGATACAGGAGGACCAAAAGGGAGACATATAATTTGTTGATGCATATATTACATTTTTTTTGTGTTCTTTGTTCAAATATTCCTGATTTATTGATGATGTACTGATATATTATTTTAATATTCACTATCCATTTCCAGCTATGAGCAATTACACTATATCTATCATTTAGTACAATAAACCAACTACAATAAATTTATCTGCCCAAACAAAGTAGATCAAAGTAAGATCATTAAGACTTGAAATACTGGTATTTTCCTGTGTAAATATTTGGATTATGAGCAAGGGAAGGAAGAGCAAGGAATCTTAATAAAATGAAAAATAAAAGTTTGCTCACATCTAAGTAAAAATATGGAGTATTCTTCAAAAATACAGCACTGTAATTGTCACATTGCATTAATCCACTCTTCAGCTGGTCAATATAGTGGGTATGACCACTTTAGTCACCATATTAAAAGGGAAAACATTTCTCAAAAAAAACGCAACAACAATGCATTGCTTCTTTTTTGTTCCTATTTCTTACTATAAGTTCAAGATTAAGAGCATGTAAAAGGTAAATCACTAATGATAGATATAAAATGATAGATATAAAATGATAGATATAAAATATTATACATTTAGAACACCTTGGGTGAAAAAAAAACCCATAAAAATATATTTGGTCTACAAATAAAATAGATTTGAAGAAGAAATAAAAACACTTTAATAGACCTACTGGAATGACTACATAAAACCAAGGTCTGTTTAAAAAAGACAATTATCCAAGTTTTAAACACTATTCTATAATATAAATCAGCTTTTATGTGGGATTTGTGGACTGCTAGTCTCCACACCTGAACTCCTAGACTTGACACTTCAATGCAAAGTGAATGAACCACCACTAAGTTCAAAACATGTTCTCAGAAACACCTCACAAATTATATTCTACCACCTGTCAGCTTTTAATAATCTGTTCCCAGATGAAATTGCCTATTCATGTGAACCATTTTAAGGAGATGCCATGAAACTTTCTCAACACCAAATCAAATGACCCATGAAAGGATTTTTAAACACTTTCAATGCCTTAGAAATTTAGAAAGATTCAGAAATTAATTATTCTATCTTTATTATAATACTGTATGGACTGTCCTTAAATTTTTAAAGGGAAGCATTTGGAATACATTTGCTTTTGACTAGAGCAAGGCATTTCCAAACACAGCAAAACTCTAACTGGCTAGAAGCTGAGTTTCACAGAAGTTCTTCCAGGAAAGTGCTAGAACTTGAATTAATAATAGCAACAAGTTATGCACATTTCCAGACTTCCTGGAGAATTCCCTAGGACTGACTTTTTCAATACTTAGCCTTGACAAAAAAAATTTAAAAAGCAAGCCCTTAAAAAGAACAGCTAAAAAAAATCTCCAGCACAAATTATCTTATATAAGTAGAAGACAGAGAGGAAAAAATAAAGGAAAAAGACATTGTAAACAAAAAGACACTGTTTACAATGTCTGTGGAACTGATAAGCCAGCAGCAATAAAATACTGGGGGTTTTTGCTAATATCTGCATATATTTTGCATGTTCAGCAAAACAAGTAACAAATTTATAAAGTTTTAAAGGATTTTCAGGGACTAAACTTCTTCAGATTCACCATGCCAAATAGCAGATAAAAGAATCTTATGACTTGTGACAACTATCTTTGATAAAGTATGAGAAAAAGATTTCTCAGTTACATGGAAAAAGTGCCTGAAATGCCACTTGTGCAAAAAACTTGTAGCATAGCCTGCATTACATAATACAATCTGCAATATGGATAAATCTTTTTAGCAGAATGTTAAATGTTGAACAACACAAAACAGTTAGCTGACAGAAAAGTGGAACTTCTAAACTCCATAAAAAGAAGTTGAAAAAAAATTATATTTGTATGGATAAATATTTTTAGCAGAATGTTAAATGTTGAACTACACAAAACAGTTAGCTGACAGAAAATGGAACTTCTAAACTCCATAAAAAGAAGTTGAAAAAAAATTATATTTAAAAACACAGAGGACAAGTAAAATGAGGAGTTTAGAAGTTTAGAAAATGAAAGAAAACAAAATGAACAATCTGACTATTTAGTTTAGACTGTATAAGCCTATTTTAACAAGCACCAGTGATTTAAGCTGTCAGTTCTCAGTAATATTTAATGTCAGGCAATCATCTGCCTGTTCTCTGCATCCTTGAAAATTTCTCCTTCAATTCATCAAAGATATTAAAACAAAGAAGTACCTTACATTATCTTTAGCTCTCCGTTTTTCTTCAACATATCTGTGAGTTTCTAATCTAGATTCTGGAGTGTATGGTGTAGGCTCTTCCCAAAATTTTCTGTCTTCATCATCATTTTCAACTGCTCTGCATCCTTCCCGCTCTCCATCTCCTTCTGCCTGATTGGGTTTTTCCTGTGGGGAGTCTGGGCTATACAAGATCACTGAAGTATTATCCCAGTGAAATGAAGGAACAGTAACTTGCTAATAAATTGCTGCAATAATATTTTTTCAACCCAATAATAACTGTACAATTCGTACCAAGAATGGTATCTTATATATTTGGAGAACATTCTCTGCTCTGCTTCTTTTGTCAATCAACAAAGCATACTTCACATAATGCTTTTCATTTACCTATGAAGTGATAGTATGGCTATACCTACTTCCCTGAAAACCCTGACAGATAGTCCAACAGATTTAATTTCAGAAAAAGAAATTTCAGATACCCTCACAACCTTCAGGTGAGAAAAAACCTTTAGTCCATCTGCTGTTTAAGAATTCCCAATATTAGGCAGTAACAGATTAGAAATTTATAAGGTAGCAATGAGCATCTCCTCAAATTCAATCTTAACATCTGAATAATTTTTTTCTCCATAGCTCTAAGTTTCTGTAAATCTCCATCAATAGAGAGAGAAAACTAAATTTGTGATACAGGTGTGATCTATGAGGACACACCTCAGAATTTCCGCTGCCTGAAGTTCTGCAGGCAGAAAACAGAAAACAGTTTCTAAGGGATTAAAAATAAAATGGGTAGCAAGAGCAATAGAAGATGACCCCAGAAAAAAATCCTGCAGCTGTCTAGGTAATGTCAGTGACATGAAGTGGAAGAAGTAGGAAAATCAACACCAAAGGCCTGCAATATTCCATTTCAATCTTTAGATACTGAAGATAATGCTAAAACAAAAGCAATTATAGATGAACAGCTGCTTTCTCTGGAACCCCTGCTTTACCTTAAACAACAATTTCCAGCTGTTCTCCTGAAAGAAACTATTAATTACAATATTTTGGCACCCAGACAACTTAGCTTGGAGTTTTGGGAGAAAAAAAATCTACTGAACTGTGTCTGCAGGTCAATAATAAATCATGTTTGTAACTAATTATATTTTTCATTAGAGGTAACATGCATAAGGAGAAATAACTCTGCTTGAATCAACAATAAAGATGAACAAAAATATTTAAGTGGAATGATATAAACTCTTTAATGGAAAAAGCCAAACTTGTGAATAAAGAAAGAATAATGTTTACTCACAAACTGTTGTTGTTTACTGTTACCTGTGACATCCAAGCTTAGAGTCTATCTGTTTCTGCTTCTCATCCTTTCTTTCTTGCATCCTTCTTTGAGCCTCTTCCTTTTCTCTGGCCCTTTTGAGAAGGTAAGCTTGTTCCTGTTCTCTGATTTTCCATTTCACTTCTGGATAGTTTTGAAGGGCTTTAATCCTCTCTGAACGTTCTATTTCTTTACTATCCAAATACTTCCCAAAGGGGAAAAAATCAATATAAATATGTGAGAAATTATAAACATATTCAAATCAAGAAATCTATTCAATTGTAGTTTAATTTTTACAATTAAGTTCTGTCTATAATTAGAAACGCATCTTTCACATGTCAACAGCACTATGTAAGTTATACTTTATTACAAAGAATTAACAATAACTTGCTATTCAGATCTGAAAATGGTTTTGTGTTTCTAAGAGCTGCTTTTAGTATTTTCCAGGAATTTTAATTAGTCTTATTAGACTATACAGTAGAGAGAGTCCCTTCAGCCATTTCTAGTCTTTGTCTGACTTTCATTCAGCCCAAAATTACTTCTTTTGATGTCTAAGTTTATTGCCAACTGAGTAAGTTGAATCTACTCTTAGTAAGTTAAGCAGTGCCTGTGCTTCTCTGAGGAAAATTGTGAGAACATATTTCAGGCCTGAGACTGGTTCATTGACAGGAAATCGTTACATCGGTTCAGTCACAGCACAAAACCACAATCTCAAAGTGTCTATTTCCAGCAAAGGCAATATAGTGCAATTTTACACCAATTTGTATTTTTTTACTGTCTCACACTGCAGGTTTAGTACATATTGTTGGAATGGTACCAACAACCCACTAACTTCTGCAATCGTGCTAATAATTTAAAAATACATTGTATATAACAACCATGAGGAAAAAACTGCCAGAACTGTACAATATATTTATTTGAAAAAAACATTTGAAAAATTTGTGTTTAAGAATCTCCAATAAAGATGACAGAAAAGTTAATGAATAATTGTTGTTTCATCAGAATAGAAGCAATTACTATCATATTATTTATTGTAGTAATTTCTTCTTTGGAATAGAATTTAATTTCCTGTGGACATTAAGAAAAAGTCTATTAGCTTTCCAAGTACAGGTGTTTATTTTGTTTAGGATAAGTATGTTCAGTCAACAGTACTCATGTTTTATTTGGATTTAAGTTTTAAAATCTTACTTTTAATTGCTGAAGAGTTGCCACTACAAATTGCCTATAACCTTCAAATTCAGTACATGGGTTACCCATTAGAAACAATTCCTTCAGATGAATATTGCATTTTAGGGATTCAATACTGGAAAGTTCACCAATGAAATTTGCTGTCAGGTCAAGTTTCTTCAATTCTTCACAGCCTGTTTGAAAGAAACTCTAATTCAATTTGTCCATAACATAACATGTACACATGATATATATACATACACATACACAACTGTATATAAAACTGTCTCCATTTGTGTTCTGTAAACTGGTTTCATTCTATCAGAACTCATCTTTTCCAAGACTCTTTATGAGTGAAAGAGTGACTCACAGCTAAAGTTTATGAGTTTACAATATTTACAGGAATAAAACAAACTCAAGAAAATACAAAATACCATAACATTATTGGCTTTATCAGTATCAAAACTTTGTTGACATTCACAGACAAGATATTAAATATTTAATTTTCAGATAAACTGGATTTACTTTTTGACAGTCTGATTGCCTTGATACTCCTTCTCAACTAAGTCTCAACCATATGGCTAAAATCCAATCTAATTGCTTAAGGACAGCAGGATCAGTTGTGAGTTTCAGTTCTGAGTATGGTTAATCTCTGATAATATTATTCAAGTACAAAGATAAGATTCCCCAAAAACTCACTGCAAGTTAGGTTTTCCACTCTGTGGACTCAGCTGTCATTGTAAATACTTTATCACTGGTTAAATTGCAAACACTGGTGAGAAAGTGTTGGTACTAAAACAATTCATTACAAACAGAAACTCTAAATTAGATAACAAAATGCTCTGGAAAATCTGATTTTTTAATTTATTAGCCTCTCCTTTAATCATAATGTGTCCATGAGTCATAAACTTGACTCTAAGAGTAAAAAGTTTAGCTGAGAGCAAGCTCAACTTTGATTCACATCACTGTAATCACTTTCCTTTCCTGGTCTATCTGCTAAGTTTTATGCACAGTTGAGTTGTAAGAAAGTAAACAACATAGAACAATTTATTAGGGAATTTAAATAACCCAAATTTATGCAAGGGCCAATCCCAAAGGTTGTAACTCCTAAGTAAATGACAAATCACAGTAATAAATAATACAACCTGATAGATTAATTTAAAATTTAGTGGCATGAAAATAAATGCAACTTTCTCAACAAATTCCCAAGTATGTACTATATTACCTACTTCTTCATAATTTTCAAATTTTTGTTTAGTATATTTGCTTGTTTTTTATTTAAGCCATCCTCTTGAATCAGCTTGCAGACTTCAACCAACCAACCACCCAACTAAACCAACAAAAGAAAAACAAAACCAAAACACACACACACACATACAAATAACCAACCAACCAACCTATCAGTTTGTCTGGGGTTTTTTTTAACTGTTTCTTTGTCAAGGTGGATACATTAAAGATTCAGCAACTGGCCTAATCAGAACTGAGAAACAAAAAACAATCAAGTCATAAATTATTCAAGTAATATGGAATGTGTTTATGGGTCGCTCCAAGTCTTCAATTTTAATCTTGGAAAATGCCATATTTTGTACATGAAATGTGCAAAAGTGACAGGATAAAGGATTAAACACAGATAAAACAGACAGGATTTCAACCTCAACCACGAAAGAGAAAAAAGTCCTCTGAAAACCTCTTTTAAAAAAACTCAGACCCTCAGTGCAACCTGTGCTGAGCACAAAACTTTCTTGTGTGTGACATTTGATTCCTGAAGATGAAACGTGACCCGGAGACATTTAGGAAACTTAAAAGAGAAACATTCAGCAGTAGGAAGTGCTTGCTACAAAGAAGAACTTACTGAAACCCTGCACCCAAGGATCTTCTACATATCCACAAAATACCCCTACAGGTGGGCATGGTTCATGGCTTCCACTCTCTTTTACACCAAGTCACAACTTAAGTGTTCTAATATGAAAAGGCAAAATGACTTTTTTCAAAATCTGACCTTCCAGATTTTCAATTCTTTCAATGTTGTTCAAAGCTACATTTAAATATTCCAGCTTCTTTAGTTTGCTCACATTTTCTGTAACAAAACATAGATGGATTATTTCAGTTTTCAGCACTGGAAAGTATCATGGTTTCACTTGCTTTCTTTACTTTAAAGCAACAATGAAGCAGAAAAATAGGAAAGGACAAATCAGAATATGTACCACATTACTGAACATTAATATTTTAATGTTAATTAAAAAAAAAAAAAAGTTTTCTGAAAACACAAAATAAAAAAGCAAAAAGAAATAAGGAAAGTTATAAACACATTTTTATCACAAATCCATAAAACACATCTCTAATTCAAGAGGAATGGGTGAAAAAGCAGAGTGAGACATTCCATCTTGAGAAATGTGAGATATCTACAAATTCAGTGACATGAATCCTACTACAGTTTACTGAGAACTTGGAGAGGTATTTTCTACATAATTCACAAACAAACGTTGACATCAATTTCTCAGTAAGAACTTGTGTAGCTTAGTTCAGATGTTTGTTTTTATTGCAATATTTCTGTAATGAAATTAATCATTCTGTATTTCTGTATGATGGGAGAGCTGTGTAGAAGCCAGTGGTACCACTCATGTGCACAGGGGATGCCCGAGAAGCTCCTGCCAGCTCATGAGGCAGGGCTGATCTCGAGAGCTGCATCAAGGTTTGCTTTAAGAAGAGAAAAGACACAGCCCAGCAGAGCCAATATAAACCATTTCTCTATGATATTCAGGAGCATGCTTGGAACTGCTGTGTCCTCTGCAAGGAGGTGCTGGTATCCACTGGGAAGCCTAACTTCTCAACTTCAATACTTTGTAACACAGCCCCTGTTGACAATGTTTTTGGTCTCCCCTATAGTGTGGGGAGGGGTTGGTGGTGCTTGTTTTGGTTGTTTTTTGGTTTAGGGTTGGGTTTTTTTTTTTCATTTGTTATTAAGGTATGACCTCGGAAAGCTGTCATGTTATACAAGAATATACGAATCAACAAGTTGCATACTTTTTCAACTCCTATAGTTAGATTATGGTAACATAAAAATTGCTAGTCTCATAAATGAAATTGCTGAAAAAATTTTGTGTTCAAAAAGCAACAATCTCAATGTGGTATCCTGTGGTAACCTGAAGGAGGCCTGAGTGTTGACAGAAAAACCACAAGATGAAATCTTGTGTCATATTAAGGACTCATTAACAGAGAGAAAACCAAGTTATTTTAGTCCTTCTTGTAATGGGGCAAAGAAACAAAAAGCAGTTCAAAAAACTTGTTCTCTCTGAGAGAAGATTCCTCCATGTTAGGAAATGCTAAATCTAAATCTCTCACTTTAGAGACAGTTTCCTGATGAGTCCCTTGATAAAACTTAAAGGATTTGCCTTACAAGTTCTGAGCACAGAACTTCCTCCTAAAACCTTAGTATTCTTGTCTTTCTCTTAAGGAACTTCAAAGAGATATTTTAATATAATTTCTGAACACTTTCAACTTTTTGTTGTTCATCTAGACAATACGTGTAAAATCTAAGATTTTCTAGCCCAAAGCTTGATGCCACATCAACCAATATGGAACTAAACCAGACCATATGAAATTATATCTTGTCCTGTGGTGCAGGAAGACCATTAAGGCTTTGCTGCACAAAGTTTGGTTCATGCACACAAGCAAGTATTTTATCTGAATAAAAATTAGTTCAATGTTAACCAAAAAAATATGATTTGCATGACAATGAAATTTTAAAAAGAGGCTGAAAGAGCTAATCCAGTGATATCAGAGTCTATGGTATGTGGTAAATTCTTTGACTCTCTGCCACAAGATGGGATATTTAAACTATATCCTAATTTTTGAAAGTTTAATCCCTGAAAGGTGTTTCAGTGACTTGTATCTCAGTAGTATATTTTTAGTTTTAAATTTCCCTTGAAAATTTCTGAGCTTCTTAGAAATTTAATACAGAAACCAGGAAAGGAACTCTTGTTAGGAGCACATTCCCTTAAGTATAACAGAACACTTTTTTTTTCTGATTTCAAAATTATGAATGTGAATACATTTTAAAAGAATCATACTGACAAAAGACTTACCAATTTTTGGAATTAGGTTATTCTGAAGATAGAGAATTTTTAAATCTCGACACCATTTGTCAAGATGCTCTAGCTTTTCTATTTCCTGCTGATGTAAAGAGATTTCTTCCAGTGAAAAAATTTCACAGTTGTTATGTTCTGCACGTCTTCTAACAAGATCTTCAGTGACTGAAAGAAATATTAGATGTCATATTTCCCTTTAATCATTTTCTGCCATCTGACTTATGAGCAAATTATAAAATCATTAAAATATTTTGTTCCACCATACCAAATAGCCCAGCAGAAATGACAACAAAAACAAAATCTGCCAGAAAAGATATCAAGATATCAAGTACTAAATAGCTTCGACCCACTCTGCCACAACAAACATCTGTGAAACACAATCATGTCACCTGTAACATTTGGAAAGATCCATATGAAAACTGCTGAGTCTTCCATAAGAATGTGATACAACCCTTGCAGAAATGAATCCAGCAGCCACTATTTTCAGCATAGCTTGGGTTGCAGATTGATTCATGTAGACAAGTAGTGGAGTGTTTTATGCTGTTTTATTTCCAGATGCCAGATGTTCACATCCCAGACAGCAGCAGGGGGTGGGGGGGATGAAAACTACAGTGTGTCATCATATTCTTCCAGCAGCACAGCGTGCACAGAAATAAGTAGAATAAATGCTGAAAGGGGGCAGATATTTTTTATGACATAACTAACTCAGGCTTATAAATGTTTATGTTAGAATGAAATGTATACCTGATATTTCTTAGGCACGACCAGCTCATCAGAGCTGGCAAAGGAGTTTCAGGGGCTGAAAAACACCAGAGACCTGGGTTCAGTTATCAGGTTGTAATATTTAATGCCAGGCAGTCTTTCAAACAGTGAAGAGGCTCTGTATAATGAAGGTAGAGAAATTCTACAAGAACTAGTGCTCACTCCTGAGCTAGATGCTAGAACTTTGTTTCCAGCACACTGCACCAAAAAGTGCCAGCATTTTCCTCTCCTTGACAAGCACTGGACCATAGTGAAGTACTGAGGAAAAACACAGGGTTTCATCAAGTTAGCACAGGTATTTTCATGACTTTTAACGCTTAAAAAAAGGCACGCCTTACAAAAAGGATTTGAAGAACAGTAAGTAAAAAGAAAAAAATATATAAAGATCTGTGAAAACAAACTTCCTACCATGCATTAATTAAAAGTACTCTTTATTTCTTTGTCTCAGGGAGGTTTTGTGAAATCATCCAGTTTTATTACTGGTCCTGGGATGGCTGCACACATTCACATGGACCAGCAAACTATGTACCTACACAGCCCAAACTCTCATGTGTCTGTACAGCTCCTCCATCTGCAGTCTACAGGAAAGGGTGAAACTGGTTGTATTTATATTATATTATATTATATTATATTATATTAGATTAGATTAGATTAGATTAGATTAGATTAATTATATTATATTACAATATAATATTAATAAACAATATAAACATATAGTATAAATATATAATATAATATTAGTACAACATAGTATAATGTAATGTAATATAATATAATATAAATTATATTTATTACATTATCTTATTTATATATGTCCAGACTTAAATCTCCCTTCTTCTCAAAAGACTTTCACCTGACAGAATTAATTTACAGAATTAAATGTGGAGATACAGATATTGGTTGAAGGGGGGAACCTATTTGCACTTAAACCATGTTGGGAAAGGTGTCTTTGTCCTTTTTAACTACGTTGAGCAGGTTGTTTTGCATCTGAACAATCATCTTCCCTTGCACTTGAACTTGATTAAAGTAACAGAGAAAGAGACAAAAAAAGGTCAATAATCGTGACTAAATACTTCAGTCTTCACAGTAAATATGAAAAAACGGTGATATTTCTATTAAGTTACTTGGCAAATCTGCTGGAAATTGAAAGAAAAAAAAAGTCTGCTTATTACTGTGTTTGGCTGCAGATTTTTCAGTGCCTCTATTACCAGGTAATTTTGAGCAGGAAAACAATACTCCCCAATGTGCATACATACACACTGGTGGCAATATTATGCTCTATACCATTTATACAAAAAGAAGTCATACAAACTATTACTGAAAGCTTAATTGCAGCCCAATTTCCATTTGCTGATGACAATTGAAATTATTTTTGCAGCAATTCTACAAAAATGTCCACTTTCATTAACAGATGATTTGCAAAGCAGAGACTATCTTTCACAATAGAAGCTACAGTGAAGCTTTAGAAACCTAATTTGACATCCTGCTGTAGGGAACTGTCTGAATATTTGACATTTTGTGTAAGACCTAGTTCATTAAGAGGAATGAGGGAAACAAGCTTGCAAGAGAAAACAAATATTACATAAAATTTTAAATAACAGCATCTCCAGGACACTGACAAACACACTGAACTCACAAAAAAGTCCATTAACCAGATTTTCTGGTGTTGTGTGCAGTAACTGGAGAGTGGAGCAGCAACCTGAGAGATCACAGCTACTCCCAGGTTCCCAATAACACAGGAGGAAAGGAGGGATGGCATCAATCAAGTGGAGAGAACAGATCTTGAAGTTCTAATGCCCGAGCTTCCAAAAATGACATGTTTTACTAAAAAAAAGGAAGCAGAAATTAAGGGTAACATTAAAGAAATTGAAAGAATAAGCAAACGGACAGCTGCAGGTGTATCAGGAGATGGTGGGGAAAGCTACATTTCAGAAAAGTGCAGTATGCCACCACTTTAAGACTCAAATTCATGCTGTGCTGTTCAGGAGATAAAGTCATTCTCCTTCAGGCAGTGCCTGCTCCAAGAGGGCACCTGCCAGCTTCCTGCAGGGACAAGGAGCTCCTGTCCAAAGCACTGCTTGAGCCCAGCATGGGACTGGCAGTCCAGTGATAATATACAATCAAAACAGATTACAAGAAAAATCACGGAGGAAGGGAACTCCTTTTTCATGAGTAAAAGGTGTGAGCACTCAGTCTTTTGGGTCACACTGCTGTACCTGTAAAAGATGATCAATTCATAAGTACCAGTATAGAGTGTTGTACCTCATTTGGGGTTTTTCCACATCTGACAGACCTGGGCTCTGACATAAGCCATCCTATCCAGCATCCTCCCTTGCAGGGGCTGCCCCACGCAAGGAGGGGTCCCCACCTGGGCCACCCCAGTCCCCACTGCTGGCCCCCTCAGGGCTGTTTGGGGAGGCAAGGAACCCCTGTGCTTTACAGGTGAGATAAAATGGGTGTTATTACCAGGGAGGAGGAAACTCTGACAATCATCCAAGAGAGGCAGGAGGGCAGGGAGCTGCCAGGGGAGTGTGGGGATGGCGGGGACGGGAGACAACTGTGGCAAGAGGGAAGAACGTGAAGTAGAGAATTGTTTAGATTGGAAAACACCTTTAAGATCATCTAGTACAACCCAGCACTGCCAAATCCACCATGAAACTGTGTCCCTAAATGTCATACCGACATGAGTTTTAAGCAAGTCCAGGTGTATTGACTCCACCAGCTCCCTGCTCAGCCTGTTCCAGTGCTTGACAACCCCTTCCATGAACAATTTTTTCCCAACATCAAAGCTAAACCTCCCCTGGCACAACTTGAGGCCATCTCTTGCCCTGTCACACAGGAGAAGAGGGCGACCGCGCCCTGGCTACAGCCTCCTTTCAGGGAATTGCAGGGAGCGGTAAGGTCTCCCCTGAGCCCCCGGGCTGAGCACCCCCATCTCCCTCAGCCGCTCCCCATCAGACTTGTGCTCCAGCCCCTACCCCAGTTTTGTCGCCCTTCTGCGGACACGAAGGAGGAGCGCAGGGCGCGGGGCCCGTCCTGGAGAGGAGGGCAGGGCCCGGGGAGAGGAGGGCAGGGCCCGGGGAGAGGAAGGGAAGGAAGAGGCCCTCTCCGACACTCACTGCGCACCATGGCCGCCCTCGGGCGCCGCCGCCATTGCCGGACGCGCAGCGCTGCCACAGCAACGGCCGCGGGCGGCTGAGGGCGGCGCCGGGGCCTCGCCGGAACCGCGACCGGAGCTGCGGCTGCCGGCCCTGCCTTCCCTCGGCAGGCGGAGAGCGGTGTCCTTTCCTCGGGCATAAAACGCACGTCTCGTCCTTTGCATGACACTTCTGTCCCACTCCTGCCTATCCGTCAACTAGTTTGCCTCACACATTTTGGTCTGAAAGCTTGTTTTCCGTTGTTTGTGAAAGCAGCCTGTTCCAGTGATTTACAGCTTTGTACAAAATGGAACAGTTTAGGTTGGAAAAGACCTGTATGATCACCAAGTCCACCCATTAATCTGACACAGCCAAGTCACCTCTGAACCATGTCCCCCAGTGCCAGATCTACACCTCTACCAAATTTTTCTAGGGATGGTGACTCCACCACTTCCCTGTGCCACCGGTTCCAATTCTGGATCACAACCAGCATCGGATCAAAGTGGCGACATCAGGAAAGTCAGTCTGTAGTTCCTACCTGTCTTCATTAACCTAAAGGTCTAATCAAACCTGAAGGTCATCTTCTACTAACAGGAAATTCACCTATAAATTTAAATAAGGCAGTAGGCATTTTTACAATGGTCAAATTCATTAATTGAGCCCTTTACCTCTGATGTAAATGCAACTCCGCACAGCCGCTCTGCAGCTTTCTATCTGTATTGCAAATTAGAGGAGTATGAAGGTGCCATTGAGTTAATGCTCCTGAGATTTGTGGAGATGATCAGACACAAAGGAGCAGGAGTAGTTTATGCACTTTCACTCCATAGTATTTGTCCTGACCTATCTGATGGGATAAATAACAACTCCACTCAGAGGACAGCGAGGTTTACACAGATGGTTGGATGTGACCCAGCACAGAATCACAGACATTAAAGAAGGGCCACTAATCCTCCTCCCTACACATCTATATCAAATTGCAGACCCCTTCAGATAATAATTATTTGCTAGTAATATTTTTTTGCTTGGGAGCAGAATTCACAATCAAAGTATTAATTTCAAACAAGGAAAAAATCTTGATTTCTCTGTGTACAGTATTTTAATCCTTGTGTTTACATTGTATAACATTGAAATACCTATGTTATTTGGTTAAGCTAAAATCAAGGGGGGAAAGTGTTCATCCTTTTTTTCAGGTATCCTAGATGATAGTTCTGAAGAAAGGAATTTAAAATCTGCAATTAATTAAATTACCAAATAAGTAAGTTGGCTTGGTGAGTGGGATGACTTGGCAGGATGCCAGATGCCCACCAGTTTGGTTTTTTTTTTTTTTTTTTTTTTTTGGGTTTTTTTTTTTTTTTTTTGTTTTGTTTTTTTTTGTTTGTTTGGGTTTTTTTTGTTTTTTTTTGTTTTGTTTGTTTTTTTTTTAATTATGTACCAAGAATCCCAAAAATTCTAGGCAGAAGATGGGAGAGAAAATATGATAAGAAGCTCATGGATTGAGATAAGGGCAGGGACATCAAACAACAATTACCATCATGGTAAAACTGATTCAATTGAGGAAAATAATTTAACTTTTTGCCAGTTAAACAGAGTAGGATAGAGAGACATAATGACAAATCTAAATCCACTCTCCTTTTATTTCTCCATTCTCCCCAGCTCAACTTCAATCCAAGCCGTTGTACCTCTGTGTCCTGAGTTAAGCCATAGTTTGTTTTAATCAGTATGTACATAGATCCTGTTAGACAAATCTAGTTCAGCTGCAGGACTTCTTCTTCAAGCAGGTAACTTCTCACTTGTGATGAGCACAAAAGTAGAATTCTCTGTACACCAGTGACTGAAAAGTTCTCAGAATGTGTTTGATTTTCTCTTGTGAAGAACAGGGTATTTTGTGATTCAGGGCTAAATTATTCAGGAAGACAGTAAGCAGCACTTTGGAGCATGTGTTTGCAACACGCCGGTCCTCACCTGGTGGTCTGGTACACGCAGAGCAAAGCTAGGTGCTGGAGCATGTTATTTGCTGTGTTCTTTTATTTTCACATAGTTGTTTGGTTGTTTGGTTTTGTTTTTTTTTTAATTATGTACCAAGAATTTTCAGCAATACAAGCCTGAAATCCTAGCATGAAGCAATGCACATGCCAGAGATAAAGTAAAGAACCACATTACAAACAGGACATTGGAGATGAAGGAAGAACAAGTCACCTCCGGCATGCCTGTCCTGAAGAAACTCAGTTTACCATTCAGTTTAATAAATTACAACTTTATTTGTTACATGTGTAAAACAATGCAATATGTATTTCTATGTAATGACAAAAATAAGCTTTATAACATCATTATTACAATAACTAATACAGAAGTATTTTGAACATGTCTTGACTTTGTCCGTGTATACAATCATGTAAGGTGCTCCAACCCCAGAAAATTGATATCCATGGACAAAGCTGTTGAAATGCTGCAGCTCAGAGTCTCAGCTGGTGTAAATCAGCTGATTGATAACCACTCAGAATTTAAACCTATGTATTTTTATTTATTTCATATTGAATTACTGGTTTTTTCAAATACTATTTTTTATTTTATTTTTCTATGGTGCTAGGTAATGTAGTCACCAGTACAAAACAAGGCTTTATGTTTGCACTAAAGTACCAAAAAACCCTCACCCAAAGAGCACACAATCTGCAGGGCAAGACATGTACTCACAAATAAGAAATTCACTGAAATATAAGCAACTTCTAACAATAACAATCTTCATTACTGAAAAACACTCAAATATGAGAAGAAATGAGAACAGGAAAAATTTTACTGATATAGAAATGCCAGAGAAAGGGGGAAAACAAAGCAGTGTGAGAAACCATAAAAAAAGAAACAATATAAATGAAGTAGGTTTTGCTCAGTGTATATAGAAACATGCAAAGAGGTTTATAAAATAGTGCAGCCAATTCATAAAAATGTACATCAAAAAGCAGATTTTGCAGACCTGGACTAAGTGGTCATAACCTGTATTCTGTACCGTGTAGTTTATTCCATATAACTTAAATAAAAGATATTAATTTTTTTGCGGTTTGGCTTCTATGAGTAATGTTTTCAGGATAACTTCAAACCAGACTTGCTCACAGACCAGGAACATTAAAAATTAGGGAATGGCATCAATATTATCATCTTCCACATGAACATTCCCCCTATAAAGCACTACATGATATATACTCAGGAATTACCCTGAAATTCAGCTGAACACAGCTGAAGTAAGAGAGAATAAGACAACGTGTAATGATAAATATCATAGATATTTAAAAAGCAATAAATTGTATGAAAAAATGCATAGAGGGTATAAATCTACATCTCAGCACTTCTATTTGATTATTTTCTCTAAATAAGGTGCTATATTAAAGGGGAGTAAATGTTTAATCACTGGGGACAAAAAAAAAACCCAAAAATTCTAGGTTTTTTTTCTCTGTTAGTATGTGTGTAAGTTAATCACTAATCAATAAGTGGTTTTTCTGTGAGAGAATTATATTCCACTGTTATCCTAGGCTTGATACTGTAGTTACCAGAAGCTGCAAATACTCACTACCTCTGAAAGTCTGGATTTACAAATTTAGGTTGGAAATTTTTTTTCAGTTTTGTATCAGAAAAATCCTGGCTTCAATTTTTTATCCAACAGGAAAAAACATATGATTGCGCCTCTTTTCAGAGAAAAAAGATGAGGCATGTTTTTTATGTCCATAGGAATATACAGAAGGGAACTGCCAGCCAGCCAGTCTGGTAACTGACTAGAACTTTGTTAATTCAACATCCACGAATATCAGGGAAGGCAGATCTTAATAGATCCTGAGCATTTTGAGCATTTTATTTTTACCCCTTGAACTCCAATTGAGAAAATGTCCCAGGAGTTCCCTCACTCCAGATCAGAACAATTCTAATTTACAGTTTGTATTTATTAATAGACAGATTATAGGAATTTATTGTTAACCTTTTTTTTTTTTTTTCAATCTCAATCAGATTTTTCTTTGATAGTTTACAGTGAACTAATGAGTTTAGGGTGAACTCTTCTATTTTTCAGCGTAATTGCTTTGAAGACTGTGGGGTAATTACAGTCTTAGACTTTTCTCTCAGAATGGGATTTAAATTTCCAGATTATTATTTCAAGAGATTATTTAAATACTAAAAATCTTTACAATCCTTTACTTTTAAAATTATTTTAGTAATGGACTTTTTACAATAGGCATAAAAGCTAACAAAATATTTACATGTTTTACTTAGTGATATTTACTCTCAGCTGTCTCTGTACTTTAAATAAAGAAGAGGAATTATTTAACACTTACAATATTATTCAAGTGCATTAACTACAACTAAATATGAGGATGAGTATTATAAAGACTGTTTTAGTTACATAATATATCAGTTACCACATTTACTCAGCCACTATCCAAATCCATTATCTTTGATAGCATGTTATAACAAGAAATTAATATATAAAATATGGGATTACATCGTTTTTATAAAAAAATATTTCACAGGAATTACAAAACACTTTTCATATTATTGAGATAAGATACTACAGATACAGCACTTTTTTGTGTGATTTCTTTCAGGTAGTCACCAAGAACTAAGGCCTTACATTTGAACAGAAGAAAAATAAAGCTAAAATTTATTATGTTTTAGAGGAAGAATACTATAAAATCTGGGGGTTTTTTCCCCCACAGGAACATGTAACTATGGCCATAAGGAGGTATCCAGGAGTTCAGTGCTGAAGAGCTGATGAAAATAAATTGGAGGAGGAGGAAAAATGAAAACTGTTATTGAACTCATTTCAAAATGCACAGAAGTAACAACTCTGCTTTTAAGTTTTTACAAAGTGCAAGAGACAAGCATGTTTTGAACTGTGGAAGGTCCTGTCTTGCAGTAACCTGTGTCAATCTGTGTTTAGTTTAGTCCTGCCACACAACAACTGCCAAGTTCTCTACTCCATCCTGTTGCACCTGCTTTGGTTAACACTGACAGTGGCTTTCAAAACCAGAGTGAGCTTTCAAGC